TTCCAAGCGGCATTGCTGTAGGGTTGCCAACTTCTTGTAATTTTAACACTACACCCAGAATTTCATCATTTGGACATCTGTATCTGACGAATTAAGATAATTCTAAATTCCATAAATTTAAATTATATTCAAACAACTCTTTGAGTTACAGCAAATTGCCACTTATCATCTGAATCAGATTTAATAAGCCTGGAGAAGGTTCGACGCAGATAACAGGCTTTAAAATTTGGCCGTGGATAGAATATTAACGCTCCTCGTAATGAGGGAATCAAACCATGGATATCGTAAGCGTTTATAACGAGGGTTAACTGTACTAATTTTGTGCAATACGAACATGCAATTAAACTTATTTTGAAAATATGTTTCATGTTTAAAGCTCTCACCGTATTATCCATTGTCAGTAAAACATTCAAGTACATTAGCATGTTATAATCGGAACAGTTAGCAACGACACGCTGAATAACACAAATCAAATGACATAAACTGCCATAGGGTTAATATCTCTATTGATCATTCATTGCATAAAGCCTACCTTTGTCCTTTGTGATCAAATTCTGTCCTATGTAAATATTTACCTAGAAAGTGGCTAAATGAACCAAAAATTCCACATTTCTTAAGTCGAGTTCGAACTTCAGAAATGTTATAGAAACAACGGCCCTTCGAATACAATACGTAACGAAGTGAAAATTATAGTAGTACCCTTTTTAGATAAAACACTCCTTCAACATTTATCATCTTAAAATTACTCCAAATTACCTGTTCATCTCATATTCACTGACGTGAAATCTATTTTGTTGTCAAAAACAAATCCCTATAGTCGAGAATTGCACAAACATCGCTATTTTAATAATTGTCTCCACTGAGTATTTGGTTTGATAGTGATTTTGCTTAGAAACGTGAACATTAATTAATCATCTTGCATCATTAAATACATTCAAAATATCCATATTCCAACGATGAAACAAATTTAACAAACTTAAGATGATACGTAAGCACATTCTCTTAACATAAAGATTGAAAAATCAATTTCACATCAATTAAAACTCAAAGAAACCAAAACATGTATAATACGAGACAAAATATAACAGTACACGTGATTAGATAACATATAATGTTAAGTATGAATTATATCAGATACGATTTATTGTTTGTAGCCGTCACTGTCATAATATCGTGACGTCATTGTTAATTTTTGAGGAAAGAACCTTCTGGGTAGATGTAGTGCACCTGTAACCACTTCACTTATCTTCTTAGGTTGCACATAATATAATGTCACGTTGCATTAATCACAATGCATATTGCAGAACGTGACATCTAAACACACATAACCACATCCACACACACTGGTAATACTAAAAACTAATGTGATGTATGTAGTAGTAGTACTATTGTATTAGGTTAATATACCAATAAGCACTGAACAACAGCAAGGTTCATTATACACGGAACATTTAAAATAATATAGTTATTTGCACTGTTGTAATCCTATTAATGAACATGGACTTTAGTATTGTGGGCTGTGACGTTGGGTAGTCTTGTCAATGGGTACAGTTTTTGAGGGACGTACCACTTCCATCTTTTGGAATTACAATTTCGTACCATCTACAAAACTACGCGGCATCACAAGACAGAGAGCCACAATACAAATTTTTACCACCGTCAAAACACCAAATCTATCATTTTACTGAATTTTTATTATATATATATATATATATAATTTAATTTTTTTTGTTTAAACATTCACGAGCACTTTTGCAATAATACAGTTTAAATCGTTTACAGCATAACAATGCTTTTATTATACGTTTGAAATAAACTGACATTTTGCAATATTAAAATCCACCTTCATAAGGTAATTCGGGAGTACATCGCGAAGAACCAGGAATCCCGTAAGCAAAAAGTAACATTCCGAAAAGAAATAATAAATGAATAATTTTAGTTTACTTCGAAGTGTCGGTAGCTCTTAAAGGATGGACATAAACTATATTAAAGTCCCCCATTTTTACTTATTTTGTTTATATTTTCTCGATTTGTGATAAAACTGTGACACTGATTAAATATTCCATTGATGAGATGCATCAAATAAGAATAACTTTTCTATGTATACTTTTTACTACACAGAAACAATGCGCCATTAATACTTAGCCAAGCCTTTCGTAAAATCTCAGAAAAAAACAAAAGTCAGAATATCACCAGGAGTAGTGCATTACAGAAGCATCATCAGGTCATAAAATGCCATGATTTATGTAGGTCTAAAAATATGTTTCAGGATTTCTCTTAATTTAATAAATTGTATGTATCACAAATATTTTAGCTACGTATCTTCCTGATACTAATCTTAATAGCTAAAATATGTTAACATAATTTATTTGATTACAATTCATTAAATTATAAACGTTTTTCCTAAATAGTGCTCCAGTGCAATTATTTATTAACAATTAAAAAAGGAAAAAGTTCAATACTACCATAACAAAGCTCCGAATTGCCAATTTCTAATACTGTCGGTAAGAGCCTAGTTATTTCGACCTGGAAACTACCACAGATCTATGGGTACTGTTTAGGAACACAGAAAATCACTCCCGAATACCTTAAAACTGTCGCACATATTTTCAAAACACACGTGTCCAATTACCAAGTCAGCGGTTCCTTTACACAAATTACTTCTGTATTCACAAGACTTATCTAAATACAATTATGTACAAGACATTTAAAGAACTGTTACAAACTACTTCTACTACTACTAATTTTAATAATAATAATATTTTTAGTGAATAAACAAAAAAGATGTATTTAAAATAAAAACAAATTAGACTCCTTTAGGTACACCAGATGGCAGAATGACGTTCATTTGCCTCTTACACAAACAAGATAGATACTGATCACATTTATTTTGTTAATGTATTAGTCGTTTATGTAACATCCTTGGAGTACAGTATTTCTCGTACTCGAAGCTATAACGCAGTAAGCAAACGTAACTCATTCAATTTGGCTGGTGGTTAAATCTCGGCAGACAACTGCACTGGACTCTTCCACGCGTTCAGTGTCCCACAGTCCGGCCCTCGAGGTGGATCAAGTAGAGACGCCACTAAACTTCTTACTTCCTGAACTTAATCTTTATTTTATTTAATGTAAACATTAACTTTGTTTCTTTGCATTTTTCAAAACGTGGCAAAAAATTTAAATTTCAGGTGAAAGATTAAAAAAACTTCAAGTGGGATTGGTGAAAAAGAAACAGCACATAAAACAACACTTGATGACGAAAGTTTAAATATAGAATATTTAACATTTTAACGACAGCGAAAACTTCACCTCCGTAGCCACCCCACCCACGACATCACCACGTGGCACACGAAAATATGCCATTGGAAATAATGCCACAGTTTGAATAATTTAATCTAAATCTGTGTTATGGCTGATTTTGGCAACAAATTAATGAATATACAGTCTCTGATCATATTAAATATTCCATAATATTAAATGCCCCTAAGTCGCTTAAGCCCACATATCTTTTTATCTGGAATAACAACAGAAAATAACCACCAAATAAATGCAAGGTTTAGTAAATCGAATATTAATTAAATAATTTGAAGATTCGAGAAAAAGAAGTTAACTGAAGAATAAATAATTGCTGAACATTTTGTAATTGGCTTACTTAATAAAAATTATCTTTAAATGTGTTTCTTTCTGAATTATTGTAGATTATATCTACATTTTTTATAAATGTATTATATAGTGTATATATTAGCATCAAGTACATACCCGTTCCTGTTACAAATTCGCGTCCCAGCGCATGAAGCTATTTAAGAGACATCTTTACCATAGGTAAATATTTCCATATCTTGACAGATGTTTTATTTGTAACAGTGTAGAACAAATGGGAACATACAGAAACATAACCATACAGCACTGCCATGTTTGTTGCCTCGTTTTATTTTGTTATGTGGGGCCTTGATCACACAGTCATCCGTCTTCAGTGACCCAGCAGTGTGTACTGTCTCCAGCCTTACATTTACGCAATAAATTATAGGGCACTTCGGGAAAGTGCAGTCTTATGTTACGAATCTAAAAATTGAGTATTATTTTGTGATTTACTATGGAAAATCCTGATCATCGCCAAAAATAATTTTCAGTCTTACACAATAATATAAAATTGTTTTAATGAGACGTTTGATGCGTGAGAAAAACTGTAGAAATGTAAGTATAACAGGCTCAAGGAAATTAAAATTAGTCATAATTTCAAGTCCAAAAATATAATTGTTTTGAAGCCTTCAAAATAATATATACGTAGTCGGATTTTAATTTCTGGAATCTGAATGCTGTTAACTGTTACTTACAGAAGCAGTTACTTGATAATACGAAGTGATAAAGGCGAATTCAGAAACAAAACATCTTCCAGTTGTACAACGCACAACCACATTCTGTATTTTTATTTCTGCCACAGATATTTCTGTGTCCTTATGCACGTGGTGGGGTACTGACATGGTAATTTTATAAAAATTTACCCTTGACACAAAGACATCTGACAGAGATGTCTGCAGTCAATTCGCTGTGTGTGGGCGGGATTCACCTTTCCCAGGTAGTAAGGCTAATCATGGCAAATATCGTGTCCTGTCACACTGAGATAGGCCGAAAAAGGTATTTACTCTCATATGTAAATTAATCGTTAAAATTTTCCCATCAAAGAAAATTTAAATGTAACACGAACTTCAACCAAAATAGACTTATCTGTTCTTGAGTAATTTTATGTGTACATTCGGACAGATGGAATGATTTCAATGGATGCCTCTCTGGGTAGCGAACAAGCTGAAAGAAAGGGGGAGATTTTACTGCGTCGGATACAACAAGGCTGCTTATAAAATGAGAAGAACCACGACGTGTTACCCAAAACATTGAATATTC